TACGCACGAATAAGAGTGCTTCGATATGAAGTTTGAGAACAGAAAGTTGGAATCCCGGAAACAAATGAAATGCCACGAGAAGCATGAATAAAGTAACACATGCTGCGCATATATGCTTTGAGTAAAGTCACGGATTTAAGGAAAGTCTGAAATTGCATTGATAGCAGGCAACGAGGACCCAGCGCCTAGGTTGCATCTGGTTCAATGACAGATTTCACCCAGTCGACAAAATAGCTGACTCGAGTAAATACTGCTGGGTAACTTTCAGGTTTTTTCGCATGAGTGGCGGAGACTATGCCGGCCAGGAGCTTTTGCCCGTTGTGTTCACAAACCAGTGGACCTCCACTGTCACCCTAGGATAGAAAGGGAACAATGCAAAATTTTGTCAAACTTGCCTTGCAAAAAATGTTCTGCACCTGAATGCGAGTAGCTACGTGAGAAGTAGGGTCACTGACGCGAATTCACTTCGCAGTAAAATTAAGAGAACCGATAATTAGACTTCACTAGTTCCTGATACGAATTCTGTCTACATGTATTATTCCGCTTTCCCTCATTCAATAATGACCTCATTTTCAAAAAAATTAGTTCGTATACCTCCGTATCCTGATTGTTTTGTGGTATATTTACATGTGTCTCCCAATTTGAGAGGCAGTAACTATTTGCAAATGATTTTTTGAGCGAGACTCGCGGTTACAAACGTATCCAACGGCACTTTCGTCAGCAACGAAAACAGAAGGACCAAACCTGAAAAGGATTTTGCCGAAGGCTTTTCTACAACTTTGCGCACTAACTTTCGCGAATATTTACGGGAATTTAAAACAAACGTCCTAGCAAATGACTTACGGGACAGATTCCAGTGTTGGCCTTGAAGAAGCCAGCACAGAATTCCTTGGTCTCTGTTAGATTAATCGGTGCCTTATACATTTTCCTGCAGACTTTGGGTGCAATGATGGGAAGCTGAAGGACTTGCATATACATCTCTGGGGGGCAGGTCGCGCAGGAACATCCCCACCCTAGGGCCGTGCAATTCTAGAAAAAAATGTGCACATTCAAAATAAACCGACAATTAAGAACCCATAAGTTACTCCAAATTCAGAAGGTTGAGGAATTTGGAAGTAAATTCATGTAGAAGGTGATAGTACAAAGGACCTTGTTCTTTTTGTACATGTCAGTAATATAAATATAACACGTTTTATGTTAGCGTATACAGAATAAGAGTTAAGGATAGCAGATATAAGCACA